ACTCCTGATGTTCATGAAATATTTAGTCAGCTTTGGCACCTGGCTGAGTCCTTTTCATGCATTTTATAATTTACTAATGGCCTGGTACATGAAATTCGAGTACTGGGGGGGTGTGTCCCTCAGCCCAGCCTGCACCCTCTCCAATCTGGGACACCTAGAGAGATGTCCAACTGCCCAGTAGGATCGGGCCTAAAAGGGCAGCCAGGCATCCCTCTCAGAATCCAGGACTGCTGGCTCCAATGTCTTGCCTGCCTGCCTAACTGATTGGCTCTAACCCCTTCTGCCTGCCAGCCTAATCATCCCCTAACTACTCCCTTGCCAGCCTGATCAATGCCTAACTGCTCCCCTGCCAGCCCAATTGTTCCTAACTACCCTCCCCTGCATGCCTGGTCACCCCAACTGCCCTCCCCTAGTGGCCTGGTTGCTTCCAACTGCCCTCTCCTGCAGGCTTAGACCCTCCCAACTGTCCTCCCCTGCTGACGTGATCACCTACAACTGCCCATCCCTACTGGTCATCTTGTGTTGGCCATTAAAGATGGGGCGTTCATCTTTAATCAAATTGGGATGACCATCACATGTGTTGGAGTGATGGTCAATTTGCATATCACCTCTTTATTATAAAGGACTCCCCATAAGGATCCTATAAGCAGATGATTTCACCACATTATAAAGTGAGTTAACGGAGGCTTGGAGAAGACAGCAGATCTGCCAAACCATGACACCAGACAGGAATTTGCAGATCTGCAAAACCAGGATATCTGTCTGGGATTCTTTCTGTTGCAATGAAGATTCTAAAAAAAAATTCTGAAGAAATTCAGATCACATGAGAAATTTATTAGTAGTGTCAATATGATGGAGAGTTATAATGTTTGGACTAATGCTTTCTCTGAGAAAAACAAGAACAGCCAGATTAAAAACAACCAATTTGAAGAGATTGGGGAATCACTGAAGCATTCTGATGCTGAGGCTGAGAGAAGACTAGATACTTTCCAAGCCTGGCAGGGCAGCAGTGAGTCTCAAAGTTACTTCAGACAGATCAGGACAGAGGATCTTATCCCTGGCTAAGCCTGCTTCCCGTCATTTATAGGATTTTCCCAGGAAGGCTTTCTCTAGATTCATCCACCTCAGGAGTGTCCTGCAGAGCCCTCTGGAGAACCATCCTAAGGTGTCGCCACTTCCACCTGAAGGAGCCAACAAACATGTAAATGATGGGATTGGCCCAGCTGTTGACACAGGACAGGGGTACTACAAACTCATCAGGATAAGCGAAGGCATAAAAAATATTTTTTAAACCAGTAAAGGAGGAACCAATTGATGCCAAAGGGCAGGCCGCAGAGGAGGAAGATCAGCACTGTGAGCAAGATGGTCACATAGAGCCTGGTGGGCAGCACCCGGTGGGAGCACAGCAGTTCTGGTCATCCGGGCCAGACTGGACCCAGAGAGCAGCACAAATAACAACATCAGCCAAGCCACAGTGATTAAATCTAATATTGGACACCAAAGTTCATGCTTATTCTCAGCCAGGAAGCCACAGTAGTACCCTTCCAGCATGCTCAGCAACAGGGACAGGGCCCAGAGCAGAACACACATGATGGCAGATAGTTTTCTGGGGCGGTGGCAGCGGAACCAGATGGCCACAAGACAGACATGCAGCGCTCCGTGCTGATGGCGCTGAGAAAGCTCAGGCCAGAGATGTAGGCAAAGAGTGCCACGGGCACGAAAAAGTACTCTAAGAACAAAATGAACTTTTAAAAGTGAAACTAGGGTAGATATAAATTGGTAGCAGAGGAAGAGGAAGTCGGCCCCCGCCAGGTTGAGGATGTAGACTGAGAAGGCGTTTCTGCGCATGCGGAAGCCCAGGAGCCAGAGCACCACCGCGTTCCCTGCCAATCCCACCAGGGCCACGATGACTGTCAGTACTTTCAGGAATATGTTCTCTGCAAACTGTTGATCACTTCCATGGGTTGTTGTGAGATTGGTCTCCCAGGCTGTGACAGTCATATCCATGCTCAGAAATGCTGCAGTTGTGGGCCTGGAAACAAAACAAGACTTGAGCACCTGCTCTATGACCACTGACCCTCATGGCCACCCTGTCTGTGGCGAATGGAGGCTTCCAGAGATTATGATTCTTCCTGAAACACACAGTCTTGGAGTCCTGGTGCCTGAATTTAAACCCAGTTCTCTCTGAATCTTAGAGCCTGGGCTCTTTTATTGCAACACAGCCCTCTATGACCAACCTCTCCACTCACCATCCAGTCCATGACATGTGCCCTGGAGGCAGGAGGAGAAGAATCTGCTCAGGTCCTGTGGAGGACAACAGGGTTCTGAGTTCCCCAGTATTTGTGCTCTGGGAGAGTGGCTTTGTTTGGCTGAAGGCTGTTAGAAGCTCCAGGGCAATCTCAGTAACTGAGAGTGAACTACTCACTGGGAGAAAGGAGGTTATGACTTAGGCTCTTGAAGGCAATGAGACCGTTTCCTTGTTAGGACAGAGGGAGGACACCCAAAGCTCTAGAAATGTCCCAGTGGGTCTTTTATATGAGGATAGACACAATGTTGTGTCCCCAGTGCCCAAGTCTGTGTGGGGACATAATGGGGATGTCAATAAAATTGAAACCCACAAATGAATGAGTGAATGAGTGGATGATTGAGGAGTAGTAACAAAATTTGGATTTAATATAATATAACTTTTAAAATGAAGAATATTAAATGTAAAACAGAAGTCAGCACTTTTCACCACCAAAAACACATAAGTAACAAAAAGAAAATTCATGTTCCAATTATTTATTCTGTGAAAAGCTCCTATGTGCTTGAAATAATTTTTTTATGCCTGCAGACATCTCCTATCCATGTGGGAGAGGATTCAGGACTGAATTAAACTTCTTTGCATTTTAGAGGAGAAAGAAGCCATTTTGGGAAGGAGAGAGACAGAGGTGGCCAAGGGTATGAAGAGAGGTAGTTGGGACAGAAATACAGAAGGGGCATTAATAACTGTGTTTCCTATGATGTGTGTAATAGGAAAACGGAGAATTGTCCCTACATATGATTTGGAGTAGAGAATTTTTATATATCAAAGCATTTGTGTAAGAGAATTCTCATGGTGGTGGTGGAATTAAGAAATGCTTAGTTCTATTTTACGAAGTGCTATGGATTAAAAGAGAGAAACTCTTGCAGAATTTAGGTGAGAAACACAAACCAACTCACATATATGTGAAGAGGAGCAGCTGATGAGTGCTTACATAGTATTACCTCTTTTAATCCTCCTAATAGCTCTAGAAGCCAGTATATGCTTACTCCCATCTGGCATATAGGAAAAGACAAGCAGGAGGAGGTTGAATGACATGCTCCAGTTCTCACGTGCACAAGTGGAAGAGCCCAGATCTGAACCCACAGGTCTGTGTCAGAGTGTTTACCCTTCCCCTGCCCTGCAGCCCCCCACAACCAGGGTCACTTCTAACAAGGGAACTAATCTGTGTGTTTTATTAAACTAGAATAGGCAAATTTCACAAATAACAAAGAAATGGGTGGAATCTAGCTGAGAACAAACCAGAGATGCCAGGAGCTGCTTCTTGGCTCTGGAGAAACCCAATCAGTCAATTCTTTGCAGGTTCACTGAGATAGCACAGCCCTCCCTGTGTTCTGTGTTCTGGCAATTTATTTTTCCCTTTAATTTCAAGATGTGTATGGGCAATAGTTCCCTTTTATGACTAATCTTTAGGTGTGTTCCTGTTCACCCTTTCTACAGTCTTTTATTAACTCCCTTCAATTGCCCTATTTGTTTGATGTCAGAGTGGGTCCAGAGTCATGGAAACATGGAACAGAATGCAGAATCTCTGAGGGAAGGGGTGGGGCGGGGTAGGGGGAGAAGGTAAGTGGATGGGAGGTAATCAACCAAAGATCTTGTTTGCCTAATCCATGGACTCAGATAATAGGGTGGTGAAGGCCTGATCAGGAGGGGAGGTATGATGGGGGCAAATGGGGCAAAAAGGGAACATTTATAAAACTTTCAACAATAAAACTAAAAACAATGTATCCATATGGGTGCATCAATTTCAATAAATGTGCCACATTAATGGAAGATGTTAGTAATAAGATAAACTGTGTGGGGAATTAGGAATGGGGGGGTGTATAGAAATCTTCTGTACTTTCTGTACTGTTTTTCCTAAAAAGTGCTCTAAAGTATAAAAACTATTAAAATGAATAAGCAAACCAACATCTGAATAAATATTTACAATATACATAACTAACCAAAGCCCCGTTCGGCATATATCAAAACTTCTACAAACAAAGAATGCAAAGGGCAACCCTTAATAATAACTGGCAAAATCGAAAAAGACACTTCAAGAAATACAAGTAACCTATAAGCTCATGAAAGGATGCTCATGCTTGAAAAGTTTGAAAAATGATGAAAATAATGCACTTAAAGAGGATGACTCAAATCTGACCATGGGATTTAGCAGAGACTTGACTTGAAAATCACCATACTTTCATTCATTAGTTCACTTATTCACAAACAACATTTATTATGCTAAGGAGCCAGTGTAAGGTCTGCCAAAATCATCAAGGCTGCTCCCTGGGGCTCGACTGAACTTTAATTTGTTTAATTTATAGGGACATTGTAGGAGAATGACCACAAAAACTTGTCAAAAATGTAAGGTTCATGTAGTTTCTATCAAGTTCAGAGATGAAAGAAATTTAGACTTTTCCTACACTTCATCTTCCTCTGTAGGTGAGATTCTGTAAATGTGAGAGCAGTCCTGGACCCCAGAGATGGCAAAGCTCCCATGGGCATGAGGTGAAGGCCCTGGGTGAGGCAGTCCGGAGACCTTGCACTCTGTTTTTGTTTAACAGGCACTGTTTCACTTCATCCTCTGGAGCTGGATTATTATGTTAATTGTTTTAATTCAGGGGTCCAGAGGGCAAACACAATAGGAAAACCAATCAAATGAGAGGGACAAAGCTGGCTTTCAGTCAAACCTGTCTGAACAAAGCAAGACTCTGAATCAGGGCACCAGACTTTCTGAGATGGCCATGGTTTCCCCTGGCAGGTTCTCTCCATGTTCATCCATCTCAGGAGTGTCCTGCAGAGCCCTCTGGAGAACCAGCCTCAGGGCATGTCTCTGCTTCCACCATCGCTGCCCGAAGGAGCCAACAAAGAAGTAAATGATGGGGTTGGCACAGCTGTTGACACAGGACAGAAGAACTGCCACCAAGACATGAGGAACGAGGGCAACAAAATATTGAAACCAGATTACGAGGAACCAGTAGATGCCAAAGGGCAGGCCGCAGAGGAGGAAAAACAGCACTGTGAGCAAGATGGTCACATAGAGCCTGGTGGGCAGCACCCGGTGGGAGCCACACAGCAGTCTGGTCATCAGGGCCAGGCTGGACCCAGAGAGCAGCACAAACAACAAAATCAGCCACGCCATAGTGATGAAATCCAACACTGGGCACCAAAAATAATGCCTAGTCCCCACCAGGAACCCACAGTAGTACCCTTCCAGGATACTCAGGAGCAGGGACAGGGTCCAGAGAAGCGCACATATGCCCGCTGACCAGTGTCTGTGGCGGTGGCAGCGATACCAGATGGGCCACAGGACGGACATGCAGCGCTCCGTGCTGATTGCGCTGAGAAAGCTCAGGCCTGAGATGTAGGCAAAGATGGACACAGTGATGAAAAATTTGGGGATGGATATGTTGATGAGAGAGAAGTCCCGGATGAGTCTCTCCAGGGCATCCACAATATAACAGCAGAGTAAGAGGAAGTCAGCTCCAGCCAGGTTGAGGATGTAGACAGAAAAGGCATTCCTGCGCATGCGGAAGCCCAGGAGCCAGATCACCATCGCGTTCCCTGCCAGCCCCACCAGGTCCACGATGACTATCAGTAATTGCAGGATTGGGAACTCTGTTTTGAAAGTTTGTTCTCCTCCACTTATAGATGTGAGTTGTCTGCTCCAGGCTGTGACAGATGGATTCATGCTCAGGAACCCTCCACTGGTGCCACTGGAACCGAAACAAGACTTGAGCACCAGGTGCCTGATCAGTGAGTCTCATGGCTACTCTGCTACCTGGGAATTACTGTCCGTGTTACAGAGGTGGAAATGGAGGCTTGCAGAGAATATGATACCAAAGGCTTCACTGTCTTGGAGTCCTGGAACCTGGATTCAAACCCAGTTCTCTTTGACGCTAGAGTCAGGGGTCTCTCTATGCAACACGGAACCTCTGCTGACATGGGAATATTCTCTAGTCCAAATACCTCCACTCAGAGACCATGTCATGTCTGCTGGAGGCAGGAGGAGAATAATCTGAATTCTCTTCATTTGATATCAAATTTCACTTCCTGCTTCTCTACCCTCCTCTGTGTACTGAGAGGATATGTCTATTCCCCTCACCACTGGGCTCATCTCTGGCTCCTGGGTGATCTCAGGAAGGATAGACACTGGCAGGTGGTTGGAGGGCAGGAAGAGGGCAGGTTTCCACTCCCTAGTTCTCCGATGTGGTTTGGCCATGGTGGTGTTATTCTACCTAAAGACATAGCCCCTGTCTGGTTACCTTTCTTATGGTCAAAGTGACAACCTCCACTACAGCCATAGCCTCCCCGTGTTCTGGTAACTTACCTTTCCCTTTACTCTTTAGCAGTAGCTCCCTGTTATAACTTATCTTTAGAGTCCTCTCCATCTTTATCAATTTCCATTAGTCCTGCTCACCCCTTTGTACATATTCCCTTTATTATATTTTCTTCAATTACTCATTAGTTTGTGCCTAGTGTTTTTTGCTGGGACAAGAAAGGTACAAACATATAACAAACAAACAAATCCACAGAACAGTAAGCTAATGTGTAAAAGCTGAGTTATTAACAACAATTCAGATTTGAAAACAATGTCTGTGAAGCAGAAAGGACCTGGGCCCTTCACAGCCTAAGCTACCAGCACCCACATCTTCCCTTAGGAAGGTTCAGTCTCTGGACTCTCCTCATGGGTTTCCATGGCTCCTTGTATGCTGCATCCCAAGATGCACTCATGACCTTGTGGACTAAGATAGAGAAAACAACACTGCCTTTTAGAGCAGATATTTTTGAGCCAACTCTTACCTGAGCACCATGTTCCAGTTGAAAGTGATGAGAAGAAGAAGGGGAGCTTTCCAGGGAGTGCTGAACACCAGAGGATACTCTCCTACCCTGGATAAGAGGTGTCTGCAGGAGCAGGAGTGTAACCTGATGACCAAGAGGGCTTATCAAGATGCTGGGCTGCCAATGTGACTTCCTGCACAAGGGGCACTGGCAAGTGAGGTTCTGGAGATATGAGACAAGAGCGTCATGAGATGCTTCTCACTTGTCCTGAGTCCAATGACTTATCTTTTCCTCTCTCCATCTTACCCCATGGCCCCCCTCCCTGTGAGGAATGGCTTAATTGGAGCCTATCACTGTCCACTGTGGGAGTGAGAAGGAAGCCCACCCAACAGGCAATATGAGCTTCCATAGCTAGAGAAGAGTCTGCTTGGCATTTCTGCATCACCTGGTTCATGTGATTTGTTTCTATTTACTCCCAGGAGTAATATATGCACATTAACATATTTCAGAGGACACCAGAATATGTAAAATAAAATGTAAAGTCTTTCTTAATCTCATCTCCCAATAGCTACTGATGTTTGCACTCCCCATTTTTTTAATTCCTTTACAAGTTATTTTGTAGCTTTGCATAATAAACTACATTTCTAGTTTTGAGATATTAATATCAACAACTGTGTATTGTGTTTCCCTATAAAAGATAAGGAATTTAGCACACCACATGCACTACCAGTATTCTCTCTCTCTCTCCTCATGACATCTGTTAGCTAGATTACTTTCACATGATGTGGAGGCACCCAGTGTTTTCAGCTTTAGCTCCTATGACTTCCTTTCATGTGCTCACGCTGCAGCCAAATTGAGGTACATGACATTTCCTTAGAAACTTAACTATGAAGCATTTGAAGCAAAGAGAGAAACGTATTCACTCATTTCTGTGTTTACCCAACTCTACTAATATTGTGTGCCTATCCTGTGCCAGGCAGCGATCCACACAGGGAAGATGCAGTGATGCATACAAGCAGAACTGTGTTGGCAGATTCCAGGAAAGAATGCTGATGGAGAAGAGTTTTGAGACTCAGCATTAGGGCCTCCACCCTCCTGGGAGAAGGGGTTGGCCAGCCACTGCAGCAGTAAGAAGCAGCTACTGAAGGAGGCATAAAGGAGGAGGGCATAGCATCCTGAGGCTGAAATGAGAAAATGATTGTGAACATGGGAGTGAGCAATAGCTTCAATCCAACATGAGAGGCTGAGTAAGATGAAGACTCAGAATTAAAGTTGGGACACGCAGTATAGAGTCATTGCCAATCATGACAGGCATGGTTCCAGGGGATGGTGAGGCTAGACGATTGCAAGAGTTGGGAGAGAACAGCAGGATAATTCCTCTGGCAAGTCCCAGAGAATCAACTGACAATCACGACAGTGAAAGACAGCTCAGAAAAATGGCTGGGAACAAAATTCCTCTGCAGATGTTAAAGCTTCTCACATATTAAAAAAAAATTAGAACATATAATAAAATGAAACCTCAGCTACTTCTGGAGAAAACAGAATGGTGTGAGATCTGTGCCACTCTAACAGAAATTAGAAGCTATTCTTAAGCGTTAGTGAAAACAACCATGTTGTGTTAATATACAAACTGGCAAGAGAGATCGACAGAGCCTGGGAGAAAGTCTCAGGAATTAACATATGTGCACATGGAGACAGTTTGTGCTGAGAGGGCTATTTAAAAATGGAAGGTCTGGCCCAGCCAGTGTGGCTCAGTGGTTGAGCATCAATCTATGAACCAGGAGATCACAGTTTGAGTCCCTGTCAGGGCACATGCCCAGGTTGCAGGCTTGATCTCCAGTAGGGGTTGTGCAGAAGGCAGCCAAATCACTGATTCTCATTCATCATTGATGTTTCTAACTTTCCCTCTCCTCACTGAAAAAAAAAAAAAAAGAAAAAGAAAAAAATTGAAGGCCTGGAGGTAAACTATTTAATGAATGTCATCGGCAAATGGGAAGCCATTTAGAGTAAAACATAGCAGGCATTGCACTTTACCCTTTTACATTTCAAATGGATTGCAAATTAAATATGAATAAGAATTAAAAGAGAACATGAGAAAATTTTTTTGTAACCTTGGATCGGAGAAGATTTTTTTAACCATGACACAGAACTCAGAAACCATAAATGAAAATAATTTTTTAAAAAAACTATGAAAATAATTTTCCTGCATGGCCAGCATCAGTAAGTCAAACAACAATATAGAAAAATATGTATAATGCATACATTGGACAAAATCCTATATAATGAAAACCTAATATGCAAATTGTCCCCTTAATGGCAAGTACGACTGCTTGCTATGACATGTGCTGACCACCAGGGGGCAGTGTGGAGCATGGCGGGCATTAGTTACACAGTGCTGGCAATGGGCAGCAGTGGAGGTGCTGCTGGCCCAGTGGCAGTGGTGGGAGGCAGGGGGTGGGGCCACTGCCCTGCTCCCAGGTCCTGAAGGAGCTGGGGGATAGTGGGGAGGCCTGTCCCCAGATTGATCGTCCCATTGACTGTGACCAGCAGCCTGCAGGCCCTAATTGGGGCCTGCTCCTGGGCTGAGATAGGGAACTAGGGGTGGGTGGTGCCAACCAACCTCCCTTGACGCCTGCGGCGGGGGGTGAAGAGGGTGAGTGGGATAAGGCAGGTAGAGGGAAGGGGCTGCTACTTCTTGCTGGCTACCTGGGGGCAGGGGTGACAGGGTCGGAGGTGCGGTGAGAATATGGGGTGTCTGCCAAGCTCACTCTCACTCCCCCTGCTACCTTCCTCAGGGACACCAGAGCTCACACACTTGGGAAGCCCCTGTGCTCAGGTTTATGTGTTTGTGTGTGTGGCTGATTTTACTACATAAGCTTGCACAGATATACTTTGAGTGGGTGCTACTCATCCCAAGGTCAGAGTCTATTGTCATTCCACTCCATGTGGCCACCACCAGCCAGAGAAAGCTCAGCACATACAATGAAACCAAGAAAATGGGAGTATCTTTATGATGTTATTTGATCTCTGGATTGAGTATACTGGAGCTAGCTTCTCTTACAGATTCTCTGTCATTTGAATTAATGACAACCCATTTTTGCTAAAACTAATTCTATTTGGCTCTGTTTTTTGCTTACACAACCACAAACATATCCATATGAAAGTATGTATCCTGTAGTGCTTTAAGCATCTCAGGACATTTTACTCTCTCTTTGCATTGAGAGTGTTTTGAGAATAATAACCATGAGTTTGTGTCTCAGTGCCTGGAACAGTATCTGGCCCAATGATCAGCAAATTTCTTTGTAAGTGCACACGTTGAGTCTACAAGCATGAGTGAATTAGTGACTGAATAGATGATGGGCGATATGGGTTGGGTAGTCATTCTGGGCAGAGAACTTTTAGAGCTTATCTGTCAGTAGAAGGGCAAGACAAGATGAAGACCAAGACTATTGGGCAGGATAAAGTCCAGTTTAAAATTTACCCAGCAAGTAAGAAGCACAGCCCTTGTAGGAAATGGACTCATCTGTAGTTACCTTAGATTAGTTTCTCACTTCCTGTAAAATTTGGAAAGCGGAGTATTGAAAGGATGGGGGAGCAAGCCACTGTGATAGAGAGGATCACTTTGGGATAGAAGGTTGGGTGGGGACAGAAAAGTCACTGGGTTACAGAATCCTTTCTATAAAAACACATTTGGAGAGTGATTTTACAATCTCTTGTGTCTTCCTGGTCAGGCTGAAAGACTATGGTGATGAGAATGACAGTTGACATAGGGGACTGGAGCAAATGGATCAATATTAGCTTGAACTGGCTGGATAAAGGGAAGAACAGTCAGAACAAGGAGTGAGGCTGGGGTGTGCTGAGGAGGGCAGGAGGTAGGAACTCCCTCATGGGAGCACTGTTTCCCTTCTC